CATACTGCCTGTTGCTGCTAATCAATTTCGCTGGTATTGCCAAAAAAGCCTATTTTGAGAAATGTTGTACTCTATTGCAATTCACTACAATACAAAATGTGTTGGCGCGCGCTATGGTGGGTGGCAATCAGACAGTTTGTGGTGCTGTTTTTCAAATATCACAATTTGAACGATTTCCACAAAGTGAAGTGGCGAATGTAAGTATTCAAATGCTGTTTATTAATAATTTAATTTACAATGTTAATTTTTGGTACATAGCATATCTCAAAATTAACGCCATATAAGGGAGTGGGTAGCTCTGCTGCACCCAATGTTGATGGTGATCAGTGGCAAAAGTTAAATATTATTATGAAAAGTCATAAAACATTTGTTGGCAAAGAGATGGAGGAGCGACTTAATGCTTTAATTGATGTGATCAGTAATGCACATCGTAATAATCAAATACAAAATGTAGCCATGTCGCAGATTATTGAATTATTCAATTATAAGAGTGAAATTTTTAGTTGCGCGGAAAGTTGCATGCAAAGACGGCTGGAGATCGCCAGCCAAGAGGTAAATGAAAGCTTTAATATTTGTGTAGTGGCTCTGTTTTGTATAGGAAAATTCTTTTTCAGATAACAAATCTAACACAACGCATCAATTTACAAAATGCTGAGTTACAAAAATACGAAATGATGAATTTTGAGCTGCATGTCAATCAAGAGGGGTGAGCGTAAATTACCAGAGACTTGAAAATGCAGTATCTAAACATTTTTATATCTTTATTCTTTCTTGCATTGATTTCTAGTCTGCAAACACAGTGCCAAGATTTAAAACAGCAAAAGGATAATTTGAAACATAATTTGGCAAGTTTAATGAAGAAGTTATCTGAGCAGTCAGAATCATTGCAAATAAGCGAAAAGCGTTTGACTGTCAAAGTGTCGGAAGTAATAGGTAATAAATTATTTTTCTAGATAAAGCATCACACTTCAAGTGTAATAAGCAATAAATCGCGGGCCCTCTAAGAAAGAGCCACAACTCAAAATCAGATCTATAAATATGTTTTGCATGCGGATCGTACAGTTAGCACGCAATTATGTAATTCAAAAATAACAGTTGTTTTCTAGTTAGATAATACAATCACGAAAAAGTAGTTGTATTACTTGGAGGTCAATCCTACGAATTGATTTATGCGAAATACTTAAATTATTATTTTTTTTTTGAGTTGTGCCTCTTTTAAGGATGGTGTGCGAAATATTTTCGGAATGTTGGGTTTAAAGTCTTTTGGTCTATAAAATCGTATAAGATATACTAAAATTTGATTCAATTTGAAATTTGCGCCTCTGTTTGGACTTTAAATAAGCAAACCTAACCAAAAACATTGGTTGAAAATATAACATTTCATTACAACATCAGAACCATAATTTAACTCAACATCCTTTGATTTAACCAAATTACTAAAGCTCTGTTATCATAAATTATTTTCTAGTTTTACAAAAGGAAAATGGAGAACTTAAAGAGGAACTGACTTCAAAAACCAAGGAANTTTTTATCTTCCTTGCCATAGGTCACCCGCATAGAAAAGTTGAAAAAGTCGATTGCTGCTTTCGAACTCGATATAAAAGAAAAGTCACGCATCATTGAAGAGCGTGAGCGAGAGCTGACTAAAATGCATAAACTCTACGAAGAGCAGAAGGAAGCGAAGAAGAAATGTGACGATGTCATCTCAGTATTGGAGGCGCAAATTCAGGACAAAAATGAACAAATACGCAATTACGAGTTGGAGTTGAGTGAAACAGAAGAGTTACGCAAAACTATTATG